GGCAGAGGGGCATGGGGGGATGGCAGAGGGACATGGGGGGATGGCAGAGGGACATGGGGGTGGCAGAGGGGCAGAGTTGCTGGCAGAGGGGCGGCACGGACTCACGGTGCCGTTTTTGGCGTGGAAGTAGCTGAGGACCGGGAAGCGCCCGCCCTGGCGGAACCGCGCCGCCTTCGCCACGGTGTCGTCGGCCACGGCCGCGGGCACGATCACGGCGGGCGGGTACGAGGGGCAGGCGCTGAAGTCGCGGTTCACGGCGCTCAGCCGCCACCGGCTCGTCTGCGGGAGAGGCGACATCAGCGGCGGGGCCGGCGGGGCGAGGGGAAGGCACCGCGTCCCTCCCGGGCGGGCTCACCTGTCGGGAAGGATGGATAAATAGAATTATTTATCAATAATACAGCCGGGATGAGAACAATCCTCCCTGCTAGCCGCACAACGCCCCTGCCTATGGATGGGTCCAGGGGCCGAGTGGACTGCTCCATCTCACCCCCCAAAATGTGCGGTTCACCCCGCAGCTGTAACCCTCCCCTAAAACATCAGGAGTCTGTGGCCCCATTGGCCCGAGCCTTGTTCCAGCCCACCTTGAAGCCCCCTGATGAGGGGTCTGCGAGGGGCTGGACGCTCTCTTGGAACTTCCATTCTCTTGGATCTCCCCCCTCATAGGATCTCCCCCCTCTCCTAGAGCATCCTCTTGTCTCTCCCCTCCCCATCCCCTCAAGCCTGGCCCCGTGCTGTGTCTGGCAGCTCAGGGCAGGACCTTTCTCCATCCCTGATAAACCTGACACCCCAAGAGCCGCCTGCAGAGCTCTCTCATCTCCATTCACCCAAACCATCCTGGAGCCCCGCGCTCCCTACACTCACCTGCGCGGCGAGCTGCTGGAAGAGGCGCTCGGGGGCACACGGGTGCCAGCCCTGCCGCAGCCGCAGGCTCGGGGGGCGGTGGAAGAACGGGTACAGCATCATCACCGAGTCCACCGAGGAGAGCGCCTGCGGCGGGGCACGGCGGCTGTCACAGCGAGCGAGCTCTGTGCCCCTTCCCGGGAGCCCGGGACTCTGATCTGATACCCCTGGACCCTCCTTCCTGCCCCGACCCTGCCCAAAGTCCATACAGACCCCTGACATTTCCTGGTCATCCTCTTTTGCCCCTTGGACACCACAGAATAAAGAGAGCTGAACCAACGTATCTGGGGTAAGAGCCTCTTTTGGGAATCTTTACATCTCCTGATATTCCTCCCCTCACAGCCTCGGATCTCTGGGCCAGCTGATATTCAGGGGCTGTGTGAGGTGGGGAATGTCAGAAGAGGACACTCAGGTGAGACATTCTCACTCTGCAATTGCCTGAAAGAAGCTTGTGGCCAGCTGGGGATTGGCCTCGTGTCACAGTGAGCTCCTGGGCACTCTGTGCCCCTTCCCCGGGACTCTGATCTGATAACCCTGGACCCTCCTTCCTGCCCCGACCCTGCCCACAGTCCATACAGACCCCTGACATTTCCTGTTCATCCTCTTTACCCCGCTCTCCACATGGACACCACAGAATAACGAGAGCTGAACCAACGTATTTCGGGCTAAGAGCCTCTTTTAGGAATCTTTGCATCTCCTGACATTCCTCCCCTCACAGCCTCGGATCTCTGGGCCAGCTGATATTCAGGGCTGTGTGAGGGGTGGAACGCCAGCCGGGCTGCTCGGCTGGCACGGCCGCCGTGTGCCAGCGCTGCCGGAGCCGCGTGTTTGCCCGGTTGATGCCAGAGCCAACGCGGCAGCAGCGCTTTGCCCCCGGCCGAGCCACCCTTTGCTGCCCTCGGGCTCACCTCGATGGAGCTGGCGACGTTCAGACACTCCTCCGTGCCCGGGATCTCCAGCTGCAGCACCTTCAGGTCCTTGCAGCGCAGAGTGATGCTGCCGGAGGAGCCGCACACCCTGCGGGACGGGGACGGGGGGTCGGGGATCAATTGGGGGACACGCGGGGACAGCCCCGAGCTGCTCTGTCCCCCCACGGGGGCTGTGCCGGACTTGAGGCTCTCCTGTGGGTGGCAGAGAGCCGAAAAAACCAAACCTGGTGTCCCGCAGGGAGCCGCCGGTGCTGGGGGGGTGGTACCAGCCTAAATTCTGCACTCTGGGAACGAGAGGAGTCAATGCCCGCCCTGCCCCGCGTGGGAGGAGGAGGAAGAGGAAGAAGAAGAGGAAGAGAAAGGCCACGGCAGCGCGGTGCCCGTGGGGTGGGAGATGTTGGGGGGACATCCTCCAGCTCAGGCAGGGGTGCCAGCGACAGGGACAAGGCTGGGGACAAATTCACCTTTTCTCCACGGCGTCCACGTTGCGGATGAGCAGCCAGAGCTCCAGGTCGCCGCGGGGCCGGGAGGAGAGCAGCAGGTGGTGGCTGGTGATGCACAGGGTGCCCCGCACGTCGGGCAGCCCCTGTCGCGACAGCAGCACGTCCTCCACTGTCGCCGTCTTGATCAGCTCCGAGAACTCCATGGGCGCCTCCTCGGCCCGGCCCGGGGGGAAGGAAAAAAGGAGAAAAAAGGGGAAATCCTGCGGCTCCCGGCCCTGCCCTGCGCGTCACGCGGCGCCCTGCGGGCTGTCCCCGCTCCGTGGTGGCGTTGTCACCTCCCAGGCAGCGGGGAAACTGAGGCACGGGGCGCTGGGCTGGCTGGGTCTCCCCAGGAGCAGATTTTTGGGGGGAGAACGGGGATGGCAGGGAGCAGCTCCCGGTGCTTCCTCGCCGCGTTGGGCTGCACCCCCCCGGTACCGGCCCCGACACGAAGCTGGCAGCGTCCCCACGGGCTCTGCTGTCCCCAGAGCCACCCCCGGGGCTGGGGAGGAGGACGAGGAGGAGGAAGATGAGGAGGGTGGCGGTGCTCCTGCCCGGCCACCCCTCTGCTCACCTGCTCGGGCTGGGCGGCCGGCGGGGGGCTCAGGGTGCCGGCAGGGAAGCGCCGGCCATGAGGAGAGGAGATTTTTTTTGGGAGTTGCAAGAGGGAATTTTGGGCGCAAGCAGAGGACCTGGGGGCACAAGGAAGAGCGCCGGGCTGCGAGGAGGGGGTCTGGGCTGCGAGGAGGGGATTTGGGGGTGCAGGACGGGGAGTTGGGCACCCCGGGGTGGAAGTGGCGGTGGTGGCGGCGATGTCCCCGCACGGCCCGGCCCGGCCCGGCCCGGCTGGCGGATGTCGGGTTTAAGGTGGCCCGGCCCGGGGGGACGCGGCGATGCCGCCGGGGCTGGGGGTGTTGGGGGGTCCCTGCGTGCGGAGGGGACACGGGGGGGCCGTGGGAAGGGACACGCGAGGGGACAGCGGGACTCGAGAGCAGCGCCGGGGGAGCACGGGGGGTTTGGGGGCTATTTTGGGGGGGCTGGAGGGGACGGGGGTGGGCACGCATGGGGCAGGTGGGACCCGGGGGGTGCAGGGGAGACCCCTGAGCCACCTCCGCTGCCCCTGGAGCCCCGCGGGCACGGGGGAGGTGGCACAGGACGGATCCGGGCGCGGCTCCACCTTAAGGTCCCGTCCGGGTGCGGGACCCCGGCTGCCCCCCGTGGGCACCCCACCCTCCCCCCGTTTCTTTTTCCTTCCTCGGGCTTTTTTGGGCACTCCCCCCCACCCCAAGAAGCGGGGAGGGGCGGCTGAGCCCGGGGATAAATCATTCCCGCTCCTCCGTGCCCGGGTGAAGGCTCCGTCCGGGAACGGGGAGTCTCTTCCGAGGCGGAGACAATGGTGTTAAAAAAGAAAAGGGAAAAAAACAAAACAAAGAAAAAAAAACCACATAAAAACCCAAAGGCAACAAGCCAAAAATATTCCTCTGGATAAGGAAATGCCTGCCCATCGCACTTGGGGAGGATAAATAGCCGGGAAGCGGGTGCAGCTGGGGTGGGGTGTGGGTGCGGGTGGGTGGTCGTGCTCAGGGTGGGGAGCTGTTGAGGGGGCACAGAGCGGCGGGGATTTTGGGCAGAGCTCTGCTTTGTCCCGCCATGGCTTTCGGGCAGCTGGAATTCAAGGAGCTGGGCGAGGAGGAGCCCACCTGGGAGGAGGAGAACCTGGAGAGCCTGAAGGCGCTGGCGGCCCGGCTGCAGCTGCAGACGCGGCGCCCCTCGTACCTGGAGTGGCAGGCCCGGCTGGGGGGGCAGCGCCGGGGCAGCCCCGGGGCGGAGCGGAGCCCCGGGCACCCCCGCGAGCAGCGGGACGGGGCCGTCCGTGGCTTTGCCAGCGTGGAGGCGGCTCTGGAGTGGCTCAGGACGGAGCTGGTGAGTGGCACGGGGACAAGGAGCGGGCTGGCGACACCGCGCCCGACCCCGGGCGACGCGGCGGGGCGGCGGGGGGCTGAGCTCCTCTGGGATATTCCCGAGATTTTTTCCGTGGCTCTGCCGTGCCACAGCTCCCGGAGCCCGCACGGCAGCCGGGGGTCGTGGCTTTGTGGGGGTCAGCGCTTGGCACCCCCGTCCTGCCGCTCTGGGGGTGGCACGGCGGGCAGGAGCTGCGCCGGGGCTGTGCCCAGCCTGGCACCGCGGGTTGTTCGCGGGGGCTGTGCCCCGGCCCAGCGCCGTCCCCGCTGCCCGGGCAGCCGCTCCCGCTCCATGGCTGCTCCCTCCGGCCCCCAGCGGGAGATGCAGGCCCTGGACCAGCGGCTGGCGCAGCAGCTGATGCGGCTGCGGGCGCGGCTGCAGCGGCTGAAGGTGGAGCAGGCCTGCCGGCAGCACAAGGAGATGCTGGACGACGCCACCTTCATCCTCGAGGGCTGCGAGGAAGACTCGGATCTGCTGTGCACCATCCCCCCCAAGGCCGCCTTCCTGCTCTCCACGCCGCTCAAGCACATCGGCGTCACCCGCATGAACATCAACTCCCGCCGCTTCTCCCTGTGCTGAGCACCCCCCGCCCCTCCCGAGGGCACCCATGGGTGCTTGGGGTCCCTCAGGACTCGGGGCAGTTCGTGCTGCCCCCAGGGTGATGCTGCTGCCCCGGGACACCGGAGTGCCACCATCCCCCGGGACACGGGATTGTCACCATCCCCTGGGACACGGGAATGTCACCATCCCCCGGGACACGGGATTGTCACCATCCCCCGGGACACGGGAATGTCACCATCCCCCGGGACACGGGAATGTCACCATCCCCCGGGACACCGGAATGTCACCATCCCCTGGGACACCGGAATGTCACCATCCCCTGGGACACCGGAGTGTCACCACCCCTCCCCGGGGCGTGGTGGGGTTCAGCCCGCTGGGAAATGTGGGGCGCAGCCCTTGGAGGCGCAATAAAAGGGGGTGCGGGTGATTTTCCCTGATCTCTGCCTCCAGATGTGGCTCCCGGCCCGTTTTTTGGGGGGCGGGCAACACCTCCAGGTGCCACGTGGGGATGCGACTTTCACAGAGCCCTGAGTGAAGCAGCTCCAGGAGAGCCGTGGGGAGAATTTCGGGATTTTTTGGGGTTGTTTCTCCTCCCCGGGCCACCAGGAGAGCCCCAACGTGCCCCCCAAGCTGCCACAGCCCCCGCTGTCACCTCAGCCCGCGCCTGTCGCTCCATCAAAGAAGCCGACACAATGCTGCTGTGGTCGGGCTGCCCCCAAAACTGCGCTGCCACCCCCGCCGGGGACACCGCGGGTCCCCTCAGCCGCCACCCCTGTCCCCGCAGCCCTCGGGCTGCCCAGGGTGGCCCGGAGGTGGCCCGGAGGTGGCAGATGTGTCCCACACAGCCGGACCGTGGGGCACAAGGAGGAGGGTGACAGCGCCAGGAGGGGACCCCGGGGTGCAGCAGCACTGCCAGGGGACAGCGCGGGGCACAGCGGGGTGCTGGCGGTGGGTGCCACCCCCCGAGGCTCTCGCAGCCCCTCGCCCACCCTCGCCGGGGGTGGCAGGAAGCCACCGGGGCTTGTCACTCGCTCTTGCGGTCGGGGCGAGCTGAGAACGGGCTCCTCTTGAGTTTGCTCATGCGGCAGGAAACCGGAGCAAGGCGGGGAGAGCGGCGGCGCAGCCGGGCCCGGGGGGCTCCTCTCTGCACCCCGAAAGGTCCCACCCGGCCCGGGGGGCTCCTCTCCGCACCCCGCCAGGCTCGGGGGGCTCCTCTCCGCACCCCATAAGACTTGGGGGGCTCCTCTCTGCATCCTACAAGACCCGAGGGTCTCCTCTCTGCACCCCATAAGACTTGAGGGGTTCCTCTCTGCACCCCACCCGCCTCAGGGGGCTCCTCTCCGCACCCCACAAGACTTGGGGGACTCCTCTTCGCACCCTACAAGACTCGAGGGTCTCTTCTCTGCACCCCACAAGACTCGGGGGTCTCCTCTCCGCACCCCACCCGCCTCGGGGGGCTCCTCTCTGGACCCCACAAGACTTTGGGGGTCTCCTCTCCGCACCCCACCCGCCTCGGGGGTCTCCTCTCCGCACCCCGGGATGGGGAGGACGTGACGGGCGCGGCCCCGGCGGGACCCGGGACTGAGAGCGGCCGCTGCTCCCCGCGCTGCCGACAGGTGAGAGCCGGGGAAGGGCTCCGAGCCCCGGCTGGGATTTTGGGGGGCACCCGCGGGGTGGGCAGGGGGTGAGTTGCGCTCTCCGAGTGCCCCTCGGAGGGGTGGAAGTGGGGGTTCGGATCGTGGTTGGGGGGTTCGGATCGTGGCTGGGGGTTCGGATCGTGGCTGGGGGTTCGGATCGTGGTTGGGGGGTTCGGATCGTGGTTAGGGGGTTCGGATCGTGGTTGGGGGGTTCGGATCGTGGTTGGGGGGTTCGGATCGTGGTTGGGGGGTTCGGATCGTGGTTGGGGGTTCGGATCGTGGTTGGGGGGAGCCAGGCCGGGCTCTCCATCCCCTGGGGGCTCCCGGGGGATGGAAGGCGCTGTCCCCGTGTCCCCTGCCCGCCGGGGGTCCTGCTGGCGGTGGCAGTGATGGTGGCACTCGCAGGGCTCTCCCCAAAGAGCCATTTCCAGGGCACAGCAGGAGTTTTGTCCCCAGGGCACAAAAATCCCCAGGGCACAGAAACTCTCTCCAGGGCACAACAGCAATTCTGTCCCCAGGGCACAGCATTTTTTTGTCCCCAAGGCACAGCAGTTTTTGTCCCCAGGGCACAGCAGGAGGTTTTTGTCTCCAGGGCACAGCAGTTTTTTTGTCCCCAGGGCAGATCAGGAGTTTTGTCCCCAGGGCACAGAAATCCTCAGGGCACAGAAATCCTCAGGGCACAGAAACTCTCCCCAGGGCACAGCAGGAATTTTGTCCCCAGGGCATAAAAGTTTTGTCCCCAGGGCACAGCAGCAGGAATTTTGTCCCCAGGGCACAACAGGAATTTTGTCCCCAGGGCACAGAAATCCCCAGGGCACAGCAGGAATTTTGTCCCCAGGGCACAGCAGTTTTTGTCCCCAGGGCTGTCCACGGGCAGCAGCTCGGCCGCCGCTCCCTCCTCGGCTTTGCTGCCCAATTTGGGGGTTCGGGCGCTCGGAAATTCCCATTTATATTTTTTTTTTTTGCCGCTGGCTCAGCGCTGACCCTCCGTGCTGCCGTGGCAGCCTTGGGGACACGGTGCGGGGTGGCACTGCCAGGCGGTGCCAGCGCTGCGGGCCGGTCCGGAGGGCTCACAGCTGGCTCACAGCTGGCTCACAGCTGGCTCACAGCTGGCTCACAGCTGGCTCCAGTGACCCCGGCTCGCAGCAGGACCGGGGTCAGCGCCGATTTCAGCGCCCGCCCACCCTGGTGACAAAGCGACAGGACCTGCCCAGGGCCACGTGGGAGGAAGGGCCAGCACAGGACAGGACGGGGAGCCCCAAATCCAGAGGAAAAAAATAAATAAAAATAAATAAAAACACAACGAGAGGGGCACACACCTGGCAAGAACCCCCTGAACACACACAGGGGGGCACCTCCCTGCCAGGCCCCTTTGGCACAAAGAAATTCGGTTGCACAGATGCAGCCACCAAAAAAAAAGCCCAAAAACCTACTTCAAACGCTTTTTTTTTTTTTTTTTTTTTCCTCCTCGGCCTGGCCCTGGCGCAGGTGAAACGGCTGCTGGTGGTGGTGGTGGTGGAAATTACGCTGTGGCTTGGGGCTGTAAGAAAAAAAAAGGCACAATAGCAGCACCTCCCTCCTCACCCCGGAGGAAAAAACAGCTCCCAGCGCTGTTCGAAAAAGCCTTGGGGGTTCCTCCGTGGGGTCAGGGGGATGGATTTGGGATTTTTCAGCTCTGTTTTGCTCTGCCTGAGAAATGTGGGCACTTTGCTGTCGTTCTTGTCCATAAAAGCTGGGCACTGCTCAGAAAGGCGCTCAGAATGTTGAGGAATTTTGGATTTTTTTTTTTTTACTCTTCTGGCTGCCTAGCTGAGTTGTAGGTGCTGGGAATGATAAAGGGAAGAGTCAGCGGGAGAAAATTGGTGTTTGGGCACCCGTCACCCTGCCCACAGCGTGGCCTGGGTGCTAAAATGTGTCCCCAGGTTGGTGCCACCGGGAGCTGGAGGGGCCAGGGTGGCAGCTGAGTGCCCAAGGGCGTCGCAGGGCACGGGCATGTCACTCCCGAACCTTCTCCTGGCCAAAGCCACCCCGCTGGCACCGCGGGCACAGTCCTGCTGCTCCTGCCACCTCCGGTGCCAAGGGAGGTGGCTCCTGCTCCGGAAAATCAAACCTGGACGTGCAGCCCGGGGGGCTTGGACTGGCACCGGGGGCTGGCAGCTCCCTGGGGAGCCCAAAACCTTCCCTGGGGATCCCAAAACCATCCCCAGGGACCCCAAAACCATCCCTGGGGATCCCAAACCATCGCTGGGGATCCCAAACCATCCCTGGGGATCCCAAACCATCCCCGGGGATCCCAAACCATCCCTGGGGATCCCAAAACCTCCCTGGGGATCCCAAACCATCCCTGGGGATCCCAAACCATCACTGGGGGGCCCAAAACCTTCCCTGGGGATCCCAAAACCACCCTGGGGAGCCCAAAACCTTCCCTGGGGATCCCAAAACCTTCCCTGGGGATCCCAAAACCTCCCTGGGGATCACAAAACCATCCCTGGGGACCCCAAACCATCCCTGGGGATCCCAAACCTTCCCTGGGGATCCCAAAACCATCCCTGGGGATCCCAAAACCATCCCTGGGGATCCCAAACCATCGCTGGGGATCCCAAAACCATCCCCAAGGATCCCCAAACCATCCCTGGGGACCCCAAACCCTCCCTGGGAACCCCAAACCCTCCTTAGGGACCCCAAACCTTCACGGGGACCCCAAACCCTCCTTAGGGACCCCAAACCTTCACGGGGACCCCAAACCCTCCCTGGGGACCTGGAAGGGGACCCCAAATCCTCCCTGGCGACCCTAAATCCCTCTTCCAAAGCCCCCACTGCCATGTTCCCCTCGGCACCGTGGCGAAAGGTGAATTTTCGGGCTCCCAGGCAGGAAAAGGAGGGGAAAAACAACCCCCCAAAAAAACCAACCACCTTTCCCTGAAGGGGCACCACGAGGAGCTGCTGCCACCTCCGAGCTGGCACAGCCGGGGCCGGGACACACCTGGGCTGGCGGGGGTGACAAAACCCCGCGGAAGTGACACCGAAATGCCACCGGGGCCCCACGGAGCCACGGGGACGAGGGTTTGGGGACAAATCTGGCCCCAAATTGGGCGCGGGGGATTCTGAGGAAGAGAATTGCCAGCTTGGTGCCAGCTTGGTGCCAGAGGTGCCCACCGGGCTCGTGGTGAAGGCGCCCGAGCCCCCGTGGCACCAACGTGTCACCCGTGTCACCCCGGCCGGGCCTCGAGGGCGTCGGAGGGTTCGGGGGTTTAGGAACGTCCCCCACGCTGCAGGAACGGGTGTGGGGTTTGTGGGATTTGTGGGGATTTGTGGGGATTTTGTGGGGATTTGTGGGGATTTGTGGGAGTTTGTGGGAGTTTGTGGGGATTTTGTGGGGATTTGTGGGGATTTGTGGGAGTTTGTGGGGATTTGTGGGAGTTTGTGGGATTTTGTGGGGATTTGTTGGGATTTTGTGGGATTTTGTGGGGATTTGTTGGGATTTTGTGGGAGTTTGTGGGGATTTTGTGGGATTTTGTGGGAGTTTGTGGGGATTTGTGGGAGTTTGTGGGATGTTTTGGGAATTTGTGGGAAAAGGAGTTTGGAAGGCCGGGCGCTAATTGCCTGCGGTGGTTTTAATTAACGGGGCAGGATAAATTAGGAGGAAATAACAGCTGGTGACAGAGTCAGGGAATGTCGCCAGTTTGGCCGAGGAGATGGGATGGGCCAGGTGATGAGGGATGGATGGATGGATGATGGATGGAATCATGGATGGAAGCATGGAATAATGGATGGATGATGGATTGATGGAATCATGGATTGGATGATAGTTGGATGGATGGAATCATGGATGGAATGATGGATGATGGATGGAATCATGGAAGGATGGATGGAGGGATAGATGGATGCTGGATGGATGGACAGAATCATGGATGGATGATGGATGGATGGATGGTGGATAGAATCATGGATAGATCATGGATGGATGATGCTTGGATGGGTGGATGGATAGATGGACAGAATCATGGATAGAATCATGGATGGAATCATGCATGATGGATGGAAGGATGGTTGGAATCATGGATGGATGATGGATGGATGATGGATGGATGGAATAATGGATGATGGATGATGGATGGATGATGGATGGAATGATGGATGATGGATGGATCAT